TTTACACTTTAACAGTTTTAATACAATTTGGTAAAAACAAACAATCTTGAAAGAACAATATTTACAAAAAGGATATTTAAGTAGAGCAGACAAGTATACAAGCCAAAGAGGCGCAGCTAGGGTGGGGACAGGAGACAGATGTCCCTCAGTGCCAGACTGGTTGGGGGGCGCCAAAAATTGATTTTTTACATTTTCAAAAAAATTTTATGAAAATAATGGGTTTGAGAGTTTAAAATAAATCTTGTCCCCGGGCACCAAACACTCTAGCTACGCCTCTGACGAGCCAACGTTTGAAATAAAGAAACATGGCGACTACACCAAAAATATTGAAGACCAACTCACGACTTGTAGATCTCGCCCGTTGATTTCATCACACTCCTGTCCGTGTCGATGAACAAGGACACGCGCTTCCAGTTGTATTTTTGGCACAGGTTGACCGTGAACTTGACGAGCTCGTACTTATCGAACGGGTGCAGCGAGACGAGGTTGGGGAACAGCGTGCTGTTACGGGTGGTCCTGTCGTTGCCCCGCGGGGTGATCACTGGCAGGTTCCACATTAGGGCCATGTACGCCAGTGGGACGACGCCCTCGTTGGAGACTAAATGGAAGAGGCGGAGATGGACAATGATGATTTCACTATAAAAAGTTAATGTGTTAGTAAACAGTAGCTGCTTGTGGTAGCATCCAGTGGCAGCTAGTGGTAGCAACCGGTAGCTGCTAGTGGTAGCACCCAGTAGTTGCCAGTGATAGCACCCAGTAGCCATAGTGCCAGTATATAAACCATTACAAAGAAAGACTTGATCTAAGTTTATTATTCATAACCTTCAAGTTAAAAAAAAAAATATTTTCAATACCTCCGCATTTCTGAAAACCAATGGAGTTATGAAAATACTCTATTACCTGAGTCAAGCAAATTCGAGTATTTTCTGGCCAGGTGTGTCGATAGTACTCTACAACACTATCAATGGCCAAGTTTGTCCATGGTACTCTACAACACTATCAATGGAAAAGTTTGTCGATGGTACTGTACAACACTGTCTATCAACGAATACCCGGGCACACAGCACTTTATGAATGACTAGGGCTCTACTTTATGACGTATACCTGTCCCACAGATTCAAATGGTTACATTATCTCCTTATAACTACACAGTCACACAGATTCAACTGGTTACAGTATCTCCTTATAACTACACAGTCACACAGATTCACCTGGTTACCGTATCTCCTTATAACTACACAGTCACACAGATTCACCTGGTTACAGTATCTTCTTATAACTACACAGTCACACAGATTCACCTGGTTACCGTATCTCCTTATAACTACACAGTCACACAGATTCACCTGGTTACAGTATCTCCTCATAACTTCATGGTCTATCCAAAACACAGGAGCCATCATTCATGAACGTCTCATGACTATGAACTAAAAAAAATTCTCTAATTTCTCTCTCTCCCCTACTTTCTGACGCCTTGTATCTACACACTTGTGTATTCTTCTATTCCTGTCATCCAATGATCATTCAGACACAATAATAACTCTCATGACAACAACTCACAGACCCCAACAGCGTTAGTACTAACAACAAGGATTCTCATATCCTTGACAGATCTCTTTGCGGACCATAGAAATGTATAAGGTAAAAAATGATGGAACGAATCAAAGGCTTACAATTACGAATCCAATCCATTACTAATCAATAACAGGTTCATTTATATCGGTTGAACAGTATTGTGATACTTATTTTGAAAACATAACATCATTGCGTGACGACAGAAGTCAGCGAGATTAGCGCCTCCTTATGTCGTAAACGATCATTAACCATCCTCAAAATCGTATTATGGCAGGTCAAGGTCACGAACACTGAAGTACTCTCCAAACATCAAGACCATTTAGAATGTCAAAACCAACGCTTGACCAAAAGATAATTGAATGACTTTGAAAGCTTGAGCATGGCTGGTGGTACGCTTGGTGATCAGGTTGAGATCTTCGAAGACAACCAGAAGGCGTTATTGAAACCGATGTGCATAAATCTGGACCCTTTGGAGAAAGAAACTTGCAAGGCTCAAGCCTCTGTACATCCTGCAGAATACGATAGCCAAACCAACACAAAACCCGAGTCGCCTGCTGCATGACACAAATGACAATCCTCAAAAGCCATGAGATGTACTTACTATCTATTACACTTACCGAACACCAAAAAAAAAATTAAAAAATTCAGAATTGGTCTCATCAGCCATCAGCTCACACGCAAACAAAGACCAGACCAAGCCCCAAGCGAATGATTAAAGTTGGGCTCGTCGAGTCGATGAACGAACCCCCATAACCTTAAACTTAACCCAAACATATAGCTGTGCTTAGTTACCTGGTCCAAAAAAGACATCCACTCTGTCCTTATAATACTCCTGTGCCGCCAGGGCGCCAATCTGAGATGGGCCAGACAATGTCTCCACGTGTTTGAAGGAAATGTTAAGGTACTCCCCGAACCGCGCGTGGGCCTCCTCCAGAGCCAGCTCGAAAAGAGGCTTCACGTACCTCACGTAATACGTCGTCCCGTTGTCCAAGGCGCCGGAACTTTCCATCGCCACGATATGAATCACAGGTCTGGAACCGTTTTGCTCCCGAGACAACGAAACGATGATAGCGATGACAGATAGTTTGAAAATTTCCATGACGGAGACATCGAATTTTAACCATCAAATTTATTTAATCCACAGATATAATGCTAAAGGAAAAAAATTGTTTAACATTTAATTTAATCAAAAATTTGCAATCGACCTTTATTGAACCATTTACTTCTTTAGCCAGTTTTCTTTTTTCCTTAAACTAATCACATGGAAAAGCGGATTCAACAATATTCATTTCAATTTCAAAATATCGGTAACATCAAAGACTCCAGAAATATGAATCTTGCTTTCTCATAAGACACCTAGCCGGGAATGATGACATTTTGAAGCTCAAAAAAAACTGTCGATTGATTTCAGAATTCCCATTTTTTTTTTTATCATCCATGTTTTAATCAGTGCAGGTGTTGACTTGTTGAACAAATGATCACGCCGTTAACTTTGAGTTGCACATCTTCCGGAAATGCAAAATCAGTTTTAAAAAAAACATTAAAAAACAAAACAATAAATTAAAAAGAAGGTATTTTTTCTTAAGCGCACCGAGATGAGCACACATCGATTAGCAGCGCAACTGACTCGAGTCAGTCCTTTCAACTCAAGAATGGCGAGTTTGACGCGAGAACAAAACAACGCTTAACAGTTCTTCACGCACTACGGGAGCTGCAAAAGTCGTGCGGATTCTTCAGCCGCGGAACGAATTGTGGAAAGCCAAGCAGTGTAATTAATTTGAGACCACCAGTAACTTTGGGCCGTTTTTTATGCGTTGATCGCCGTTGTCGTGGCAACGGAACGTCGCGGGTGATAACTCATCGCCCGCTCCGGGTTCTGAGGATGCATCACTCGTCCCAACGCTGTGTCCTTCTGGCGGCAATTCAACCTAAGGTGATGTATGGTATCCCCAGAGATCAGCGGGACGAGGGAAGCGGACAGATGAATCACACAAACACACACACAAACAAAAAACTCTTTAATCAACGAAATTTAGCACTTTTTTTTTTTTGAGAGGAATCCCAATGAACTAAAAAATGAAAGTGTGCGCTAGTAGGAGTCTTGTTGCACCTGCTTCGTGAAAAAATTTCAGCTTTTGTTGTTGTCGTTGTTTCTGTTTCTATCTCCATGTCACAAATGGCTAGGGCAGGGTGTAACAATGGCGCTCCATTGCATTTCCATGTTAGTAATAATGCTATTTTGTTCGGGTTTTCCCCATGGGTCGCACCACGTTAGCTGAATTTTGAATGGGTGATGGGCGATTTCCATTCATTGACGGGATATCGTTTAACTGAGTCGCCACGGCCACAAGGGGATCCGCCGTGGAGTGGACCGGGTCAGTCGCAAATGTATCGTCACTAGTTGTGTAACAGAAGTGACTAGGAAATGCAGTCAGACGAAAACCTTTTAGAGGCCAAATTAGGCTGTTTAAATTTTTTTTTAAAATGTGGCTCTTTTTCTACATTAATTTCAACATGGTCCTCAACAATTAAACTCCGAGGCTGATAGTCTAAAATTTTACGACGGTGGTGTTGGTATAGACAACTCTTAAGTTGTTAAAAAAAATATATATTATTTTTTAAAATTTTAAACCAAAAGTTTTAAAAAAGTGAGATTTGTGAGAAGCATTTTTTTTTTCAAGTTCTTTTCTGTTGTAGAGTCATGTCACTCTTTTTTCAGCTTAGATGAGGTAACGGCCGAAGATGGGTTGACGGAGATGGGTTGACGGAGATGGGTTGACGGAGATGGGTTGACGGAGATGGGTTGACGGAGATGGGTTGACGGAGATGGCAACTGCCTCTACCCAACTGCCTCTACCCAACTGCCTGATGGGTTGACGGAGATGGGTTGACGGAGATGGGTTGACGGAGATGGGTTGACGGAGATGGGTTGACGGAGATGGGTTGATGGAGATGGGTTGACGGAGATGGGTTGACGGAGATGGGTTGACGGAGATGGGTTGACGGAAATCGGTTCAAATGTTTGAATAATTTGTAACTGAAAACTTCTAATCAGTCTCCCCTTAACTTTTAAAAGTCCAATTCGAAAAACAAAAGAATGAAATGTGTCCCTTATTTTTATATTGAATAATGTTATGCCTTTAAGATTAAAAACAACGAAGCCATAACACAAAATAGAATTTGAAAAATAACGCTTTTGAAAATTTATTTTAAATAATGATATTTTTTCAGCTTGGTATTCGGATTCTAGTTCAGTAGGATGTTCGTCTTGTCTCCCATTCAGATTCTAGTTCAGTGATTTTGTTCTTCTTGTCTCCCATTCAGATTCTACTCACGTAAAGATGGTCCTCTAGTTGTCTTATCTTTTCTGACTTATCGTCTGATGTTTCCAGCTTTTTGAATTTCTCAACTTCACTGCTCGATTTAATGTCAAGGAAAGCTTTCAGAAGTAGAGACATGAGAGCGTCTTCTAAGACTTTGTCTGTCTGCAGTCCGACAAGTGCGTCCTCTAGAGATTGTGGAACTTTCAGGGCACCAGATCTAAATTTATCCGGACACGTCATATTTTGCTCGATCCCATCGATCCCTGCGGCTATAGTTGCGAGGAGAACAAGATACGGATTGGATGCTTAACCTGGGATTCTGTTTTCTATCCATACGTCCTTTCCTATGACCTTGACATTCACAAAGGCCGAGAGGTTGTCCACGTCCCAGGTCACGTGTTTTGGAGCCGTGACGTTATGGACAACTCTGCTGTAGTAGTTGACCGTCGGGCAGCAGAGAGCCGTGAGACCAGCACCGTGTTGTAACATGCCGGAGATCCAGTTCCGGGCTAGATCTTTAGGGGGAAAACAAGGTTTTTTGCTTGCCATGTCGTTTTATTGATTCAACTTATCTAAGCGTTCTAAATATTTTTAGAACTACACATTTAATTAAATCTACTCAAAATTTAGTATTAAGGATATTGCTTAACTTTTCTTTTGTCAAGATAATATAAGCTAGTGTTAAATAACATGCATTTGAAAATTCTTTCAGTTCTTAAAGTGATAAGATTTAACTAAAAAATGTTACGTCTTAAACCAAATAAGCCGTAATATCATCTATGTACCTGTAACACATCTACTCTGACATGGCGTGGGATCTTATTTCTTATGCTGTGGGTTATGTCAGTAGTATGGTTACTTATGTTATGTTGATATTTCAGGATGCCGACTAAGGCTTCTTCATTCTTCCTCTTATAATCCGGGCACGCAAATAAGAATACTGAATCCTGGTTAAACTTACAGTACTTTATTGAACACACTTTATATTGATAATATTAATAAATAATCCTTGCATGAATGTAATTTCACATATATATCTATAGTATTCCATCATTAAGAAAGACACGTCCTCACACTACTGTCAACTCAGCTCAACTGTCTAATCACACAGCTCTCACGCTACTGCTCTATACTGCTCTGCGCTCAGCTCTCACTATCTCAGTCAACTCATACTTTATTACCAGCAAAGCGTGCAAAACAACCGCTCTGACAAAAACATAATTTTACTCTCCAAAAACGTGGAGTTCACATTTGCATTGCTCAGCTCTCACTATCTCAGTCAACTCATACTTTATTACCAGCAAAGCGTGCAAAACAACCGCTCTGACAAAAACATAATTTTACTCTCCAAAAACGTGGAGTTCACATTTGCATCTCAAAATACAATCCATTGATTGTCTCTCCTCGTGGAAAACATAGTCAACACAATTCACTGTTCACTCATGCTACCTCTCTGTTTTCATGTGAAAACATAGTCCGTTACAGTACCTTTTAGAGCAAGCTTTTCTAAAAAATCAATTAAATGAAAACTATACCAGTAGTAGAAACACCAGTATTTAGAAAAATCTGCCTACCCGAAAGCTTGTCGTCTGCTGTGTCGTCATGAAAGATATTCCCACCAATGGCGTTGTGAGCCGTGAATCTGAAGGTGTAGCCCGAGTAAATATCCGTGCCGCACGGATGGGTCATGAAGGTGACCCGGTAGCCATGTTTGGCCATGACGGCCTTGACCCCAAGTTTCAGCTTGAACGCTGCCTCCGCCGCCTTGACTCCGTCAGAGACTCCAAGAGACATCTCGTGTGAGCCTAATCAAAATTAATGATCCGTTTAAACAACAGTGAGGAGAGAGTGGAGGCTGAAAACATACCCCCAAGAAGGTCGGGACTAGTTTGAGTGACAGAAGAGAAAGGTTGAAATCAAATGCTGACCAAGGCAAGGGGCGTAGAAAGGAAGGTTGGAGGGCGCTGTCTGCCCCAGGCGGAACATTTTACTTTATGTTGAGATTTTCGGCCAAATTCAGAATGTTTTTGTTAATAAAGGGGTGGGGGCAAAAAGCATAGCCCCCCTCCCCCCCCCCATAGGGCAGCTTAACACTAACTAAGCCAATTCCCAAAAAAGCACAACACGTTGTGTTTAATATGAAACAAAGAACGAGACAGAGAATCGCGGACAATAACTTTGTCTTCCAATTGCTGACCACAAATCTCACTTCTGAATTATCAGTACCCCATTTCGACTTGAATTTCTTTTTTAAATTAGACAATCCCTTTAAAGGAAGTTTTGTCATATTAATCCTGTATATTCATTCTTTATATTAGTTTTGCTTTTGTTCGTGGCTGGATGGCTGACAAAATCTTCGGACGGCCAATTGACCCACTGTCCGTACCCCTACCGAGCTGAAAAGATGGCACCTTCGTTGCCAATGACAACGCATTCTATCTCATTTCAAGCCCCTCTTGCAATGCAAGGTTTTAAAGGGGAAGATTGAGGAAATATGATGACACTGATTTCATGAAATAAAATCCCAGTTTTTTTTTTCATTGCTATGCTTTTTTTTGTGTAGAGTTGACCTCATTGGTTTGAAATACCGCTGAGTTTTATGAGCGATAATTGGTCAAATTAAAAAAAAAAAAAAACATTATTAAATCTTCCGTGTTTATTGTTAATGAAGATGTATAATTTCATTTTAACTCAAAAAGCCGTGTTTAACGCAACTCAAAACGTTAAAGACACTACTGTAATTGAATGAATACCTTCTTTGATTTTAAGGATAATTATTAAATAGTGTTTGTTTGGTTTTTTTTTGGTTTCTTTCATATTGCTTTAATAAGTACAAAGGCATAAAAAGAAGGGGAACAAAATATTCATCCACTTAGCGTTACAATGTATCCTATAAATGCAGATTTGCCTAGCTCGGGCCTGGTGTATATATACGGCTATTTGTAATTAACTTGAAGCCTGTAAAAAATACTATTAAGGTTTCACCTGGGCCGACGGATGAGGTCCAAGACTCCACATTGACTCCAGCAAGTCGTAGCTGTTCACACACGGCCAGCATGAGATCCTCAACTCCAATGCTGCGGTAGGTCGTGATGGTCCGATGGTTGTCGCCTTCTGGAGAAAGTAAGCAAGCGTTTAATATTTTCTTCATGATCATAATGGAAGGAGATGTTAAAAGGACATTAAAAGTGTACATGTCCAAGCCGGCTTACAACAATGAAGTCATAATAGCGTGTCTTGTCTTTAGAAATTTATGTACAGTTTTAATTAAACAACCACTAAAAGCAAAGTTTTCCGTATAAATCTTTTATAAAATGAAATATCGAACATTGTGTGTGTGTGTGTTTGTGAGTGAGTAGGGGGGGGGGGGCATAAAAAATAAAAAACATAAAGTCGAAAAACAAAAAAATGAAGGAAAACCAAAACTCGCTTTACAACCACCAAAAAAATAAAAGTAAAAACAAAAAAAAAAAAAAAAAAAAAAAAAAAAATCACAAAAAAAAAAAAAAAAAAAAAAAAAAAAAAAAAAAAAAAAAAAAAAAAACTATCCCAAAATTTGAAGGGATTACTACAATTCAACCGATATCACACGAGCAACTTTTACTTTTACTCACCGATAAACGAAACAATTTGACCGTCTTCCGACTTGAAAACTGTGAATTGTAGTGTCATCGATGAACTCAATTTAAAGCCCAACAACTCCAACTTTTTGATTTGTCTCACCGCCTAGGATAAATAAATACAGGTGACATTGATCAATTACTTGGCCCGGCGGCCCTGACCATGGGTGGGTCGAAACACAAATGAAAGACGAACAAAGATAGTAGAGTTCGTAAAGGACGAATTTGTTGACGTGCTGTTCCTGACGGAGATTTGGTTGAGGCCAACAGGGGATGATGCCAAGTGCGCTGACTTCACGCCACCGAGTTTCGATATTATGTTCTTTCCGCGTGCTACGCGAGGTGGCGGCCTCGCTGTCATTTATCGCAGCCACCTCCCAGTGACTTTCACCTCCATTTTCCCATTCCAGCACACCTCTCTAGAACTTGTTCAGTTCACCCTCAACACGCCCCACACTGTCAACATTTTCTGCTTGTACCGCACTCCGCCCAGTAAGAAGAACAAGCTCCTAAACTCCACCTTCCTTTCTGAGCTCCCTGACCTACTTGACTACTGCAACAAGATCGTGGGCGACCTTAACGTTCACTATGACGTCCCTACTGATCCCCTTACTAGCAAGGTACTTGACATCCTCACAAGGTTTAGCCTTGTCCAGGGCATTAAGCAGCCCACCTTCTATCGCAACGGCCACATCATCGACTGGGTGGTGTACCGTGATGACGACAACTTGGTGGACAGCTGTACTGTGAGTCATATGCTCTCCTCTGACCATGCAGTGGTGCTCACTACACTCAACGTAGTTCCCCCAAAGAACCCACCTGTCTACAGGACCGTGCGTGACATAAACGCTATAGACAGATCAGCCTTCAAAGCCGGCATTTAGACAATGCTTCAAGGGCTAAGTGCTGAGCTCAGCGCTCAGCATCTGGACGATGGCCTCCGAGCACTCTTGGACGAGCACGCCCCTCCATGGCACGACGTGTCCCGACTGGTCGCTCGTCGCCATGGTATGCAGGCGTTAGTGACCAACTCCGTCCGGCAAAACTCGAGCGAAGACGCGCTGAAAGACGCTGGGTAAAGACTGGACTGAGTGTCGACAGACATATCTTTTGGACAGCGAAAGAGGCGGTGGCAGAGATTGTACAGAGGGCAAAGGATGACTACTGGAGCTCAAAGGTCGAATCCTGTGCATCAACCAAGGCGTTGTTCAGCGCTAGTAACCGTCTCCTTGGCAACAGCAAGAATTTCACCCTCCCTACCGACATTGCATCAGAGCAACTCCCTGACGCCTTTGCGGACTTTTTCATCACCAGGGTGCAAACGATCAGGGAGGAGCTAGACAGCGCGACCCCTACACCTTCCTCACCGTTCTCGGAGGACGTTAGTCAGACAGAATCATTTGATAGATTTCTGCCTGTGACTGAGGATGAGGTGAGGCGAGTCATCATCAGGTCTGCTCCCAAGTCTTGTGCCCTCGATCCGATCCCCGTCCATCTGCTTGTAGAATGCCTTGACGTCCTCCTCCCAGCCCTCACCTCCATCATAAATTCTTCGATTCTCTCTGGCATCTTCCCTCCCATTTTTAAAAGGTCGATTGTCCTGCCATTCCTAAAGAAACCCTCACTTGATCCAAACACACTCAAGAATTACCGCCCCGTCAGCAACCTCTCCTTTCTCTCAAAAATCATAGAAAAACTCATACTATACTCTCTCAGCTCTCTGACTATCTTCACTCTCGCAATCTCTATCCTTCCTCTCAGTCCGCCTACCGACTTGGTCATAGCACAGAAACAGCACTGGTCCGAGTCATGAATACAAGTCTGCCAATCTTTGCTTCAACTCGTTCACTGACCCTCACTTTCCTGTCTATCTCTCTGAACTGTTGCTTCCTTACA